ATATATATATATATATGATGTCGGCAAAGATACATCATTATCCAAAAACTGAAATTTTTCAATGTCGACAAAAAAAAATTTTTTTTTTAAAAAAATAAATATGATAGGATTCAAAAATTTTGAAAAAATATCTTGTTTTCTCACAACATAAGGTTGGATTTTTTTTTTTTAATAAACCATAAATTTGAAAAGCTGCTTGTAAATACAATACTTGGGAAAAGATGCTTTATAAATTATAATTAAGGAACTTATAAAGTACTCCTAAAGCCTGAATCTTCAAGTATGATATAGTTCTAAATTCAAATACAAAAATATCTGATTTTTTATAAGTCGAAATAATATTTTACATATAGTAAACAAACTTTTTGACGCAGGCATAAGAGTTTAAACTAAAAAAAAATTCAATATAAGCATAAGAGTCTGAACTAACTGAAATTTTTGAGTGTTATCGAACTCATAACTAATCATTAAGTAGATTCATTGTGTGAACATAACATGTAATTTTCTAATTCTTCTTGTTTAGCTCAACTATCAAATCTAACCATAAGCAGATCGTAAAAAAAAATCACATAAATAACCAAGAAAAAATGGATGGAAGAATTATCTAAATAATACATGTTCTGTTTTATCATAATTTCTAAAAAAAAAAGAATTATCATTAAAATTTTTTATAAAAATCTCCTCTAGGATAAATAATTCTCCTCTCGCAGATACATCTCTATTCCCTTCCTTGACATATACCAGTGATCTATTCAGAAGCCCTATCATCTCTCTGATACATTCATCCTCTTTCGGATACATCTTTCACGTATATATATATATATATTTGAATGTCCAATGATGTGCCAGAAATCGAATAACATATTCGAAATTCATAAACTTTTAAAAAAATTATAATTTAAAAAAATAAAGAGATATAATAACTCTTAATATTGTGAATTTTATGTGAATTATAATTAAAAGTTTCACAAAATCTATTTCGATAAAACGTATGGCCTATTTGGTTATTCAATTAAAGAAACTCACATGGGAAATCAAAAAAAAAAATAAATTAATTGATGGACCCCCACATTATACTTAAGAGTGACGTTGATATATATATATATATATATAAATAGATAGATAGATATAAAGAGAAATAATAAAAGAGTATACATTAAAGTTTTAAATTAACGTCTATTTATTCATACTCAATATTTGGACGTGGCTATCTGTTTACTACGTATGGACGTTATGACAAACTTTATGGGGCCAT